TGTAACTATTAAAATCACGTTTTAGGTGTAATATACAGGGTGTCCCAAAAAATGTATGCACATTTTGAACAATTATAACCTTGAGGTTTATTATCATTTTATTATTTCGAAAATGCAAAAGGATTAAGAGGTATCATTTTATTGTTGTTCCACTGAATTTTCACAATTTTTTGAATAATTGAGAAAGAGAGAAACCATTGAACATGAATACGCCCAAATACAAATGGAATTGTTTTATGGTGTATGCGATTCCATTGCTTGGCATTGTCAGCAGTATCTGAATTAAAAGGATGTCAGTTTGAGAACATGCAGTAAGAAAACAATAAAATGATACTTCTTAGGAGTTTTACTATTTTTAAGTAATAAAATTTCAATAAATACCAAGTTTACAATTAGTTAAAATGTGTATACATTTTTAGGATACCCTGTATACAAATGAGTGGTGTGTACGGGGAGCCGTGGGCCGGACCCACGTTACAGTTCTGCCTGCTGTCTGTAGTTTCGACATACATCCGCCACACGCCTCGTGGGCTAACAATACCCTAGGACAGTCAGGCACCACATGGATTTATTTGGCTGTGTACGTATCCATGACAGCATAATCCCCTGCAATTTTATTGCGCCAAACCTCCCTCCCTTATCTGAAAACTCTTCTACTACCAGTAATATCAACTCCACTAACACCAGCGTAGCCACTGCTAATAGCATTGTCACTCTGCTAACTTTCTAGCCACAATCATGTCTTGTTCTGATTGCTACAGCACAGTTATATCACGCAGCGGCTTGAAAAATCAAATGAGAAAGCAGACTGGCAGTAGAAAATGGGTATAGCGCACACAAAAGGCTTGTTTCAGGAAGTAGTCATGTACAGGACTTTTTTGCTGAGATGAAAATGCTACTTGTCCATCACCCCGCATTCATGATCGAACCTACCAGTGAAACTAATGACGGACACAGTCCTGCTGCAGTCACGGCCTTTGGACCCGAGCATAAGTCCAAACCGTCACGCAGAATAGGATCTTGTTCCAACAGCTGGTCATTTCTCACGGAAATTAAGTTCCCAAAAACTTTTGGGCACATTTCCTTCATCAATGGCCCAGGAAAACATGGACTGCGTGCTCGTCTCTACTAATTTCGACCTTTGATCGACTTGCTGATCGGAGATGCTAACTACAGTAGCTGGACTATCTCATGAAATGGTAGCCGAAACGTCAAAATATTTTTTCACTTCAAAAAGTTTACTTAAGTGGTATTGTAGTAGTAACTATCGTACAACATAATTTCAAGGTATTCCAGTCACATCAGTATGCCAGCTTTGAACCGCTCTCCTTTTCGGCCGACTTCAAAAAAGGCACTCTGAAGAAAGGATTAGTTAAATAGTACAATGTTTTCCATGGAATTTTGCGGCCCATGTAAGGCCAAATGGACTTTTTAGAAGACGTGTACAAAAATATTATTTATTGTACTCAGTTGATGGCTAATTATCTCTTCAAATTTTAAAAATCTCATATTTTGATTTTTTTTAAAGAGCGAAAGCTAAAGCTTCTTCAAGTAAAAATTTTGAAGAAGCCGTTATTTTGTACCAGCTGAATACAATGAACAATGAAAACGTATTCGAATTTTTAAGGGCCTTGAAAATCGGGGAGAAAAATTCATGCTGCGTATGTAGCCATTTTTTACAGAGAATGCTTTTTCCAGGTGATTAGAAAGAAGCTCGTTTAAAAGCTGGCATCCTAAAGTGACCGACATATCTTGAGATTCTGGTGCATGGTAACTAATATTAGAACTCCAACTGGGTAATATTTCCTCATAAAAAAAAATCTTTCAGTATTGTGGCTAACGCTTCACGAGGTAGCATACGCAATATATATATTTTCTGTAGTTCGAGAAACGACGGTGATAATCAACGCACCGATAATGATCGAGCAGATCTGTA